AGCTGAGTAAATCCAAAAGCAGCAATTCCAGAATTGCTCTGCTCTGCCCACAGGATGTGGAAAGGGAAGAGGGGTTTTTTGGGGGAAAGAAGTGCGGAGCCTGCACAAATGTGGCATTACTTTGGGATGTGATTTCTGGGAAAATCATCCCGTTTTTCRTCTGTTGTGGGCAGGATCAGCCCTTGAGGCCACCCAGGGATGGGGGRTTTTGGGGAGGGGAAAAAATTTTTCCCAGGCACAAATCCCTGTGTAAATCCTYTGTCCCAACCAGGGATGCTGGAAGGGGCTGGCCATGAGCAGAAATTCCTCTGGAAGTGTTTTAAATGAAATTTAAAACTTTAATTTTAAGGGAGGGAGGGAAATAGTTAAAAGCATCTCGTTTATTTGGCCTGTCCTTGCAAGGCCCCATCTACACAAATAGAGACAAATTCAGGGAGTGTTTATTCTTCTTTGCACAATAAAGTGCTTTTAATAACCTGGGAGGGAGCTGGATYTGTTTCTAACTCCTTTTTCCTCTCATCTATCACAAATTCCAGSACATAAATCACAACTTCATCCCTCTTTGCTGCAGCAAAACCCTGCCCAAACTATGGGAAATACGAGATTTCTTCATGCTGAGCTCTCTTTGGACTTTTTGTGGGTAATTTCTGTGACTGGCACTGATTTGGGGTAATTTTAAGAGGCTGTTTTAGGTTCTTTTTGGCCATATATAGGTGGTGGAAACTGGAAGGAAACGAAGTTTGCACCTGCAAAACTCAGAATCCATTGGGAGCTTGTGGGCATTCTAAAAGCACTAATAAGGATTAAAGATACACATCAAGGAGTTTTAAATAAGATTTTTTTTTCTAATAATATTATGGGAAAGTTTGCATGATGTGTGAGAAATTGGTTATTGGTTCAGTGGTGAATCAGCTCCAATTTTTTTCTGTAAAAACAAAGGGTGCTTTAGGAATTTATCGCTATTCCGCTGATTTTTTTCTCCCCGAATTTTTTTTGCTCCTCAAATCCAGAGAAATTTGCTGGGAGAAGCAAGAACCACTCTGAGGTGTGAGCTCTGCAAAACCCAGCGCATCTAAGCCAAAAAAGAAACTTAAAACTGTCATAATCTGGCAAAAATATTTCAAATTTTTTACGAAAAAACTCAACCAGGATTAACTTTTAACGCGCAGAACACCTGCGAGGTTGTGCCCAAACCCTTTGAGCTCCACGGGGCTCGGAAAATGTCGCAAATGTCGCGTGAAATGAAGATTATTGATCAGTGATGGAGCGCTAATGAGGGCACCGCAGCGATCTGGGAAAAGCTGGATTGGTCCTGGGCAGGAATTGGAATTTTATTTGGAGCTCGGAGAGCAGCGATTTCGGTGATAAACGGGATTATTTTTCCCTTTTAAAAAAGGGCCGAAAAGGAGATTTCACTTCCATCAAGGCAGAGGGGGAGAGATCAGGTTTGGCAACCGCCCGCCTCGAAATTCTGCGTGKTTTGTGCACAGAGGAGGTGATAACTTTTTAAAAAGTGCTTGGGAATTATAAATTAAATATCAAAATCTCAGGAGCTGAGAGATTTGTTGTGGTAACTCAGATCTGGGAATGGGAACAGCATCAGAAGGGATTTTCTAAAAATTGATTCTGAAAAAATAGAAAAAGATGAGGAATTTTTATCACATTGGATAAAAATTTTCTGGTTTTCAACTGAAGGTTCAGGATCCGCTGTTTAAACACTATAAAAGTAAAATAATATAATATATTATAAAAGTATAAAATAAATACAATAAAATAAAAAAATAATTTAAAAAGTATAAAATAATATAAAAAAAAAGTTTAGGAACAAATCCAGCCTGTGCAACTGGAACTTCTTATGCTCCTGCTGACCTCCCAGGATTGTGTGTGCAGCCACACATGTGACTCCCCAGGGCTGGAAACTTCCCCAGTTTTCAKCAGTTTCGCAATTTTTGGCCCAAGAAGCAAAATATTTCCTCCCACTTCATTTCACAAGAAAAAAAAAAAAATGTTTGAAGTATTTTGTCTTGAACAGCAAAACTGAAGAACACACCAAGTGCCCTCTGGAGATTCACACCCCAAAGACAAAAGGCATTGGTGTCCCAGAAATCCCCGTGGAAATTTGGGTGGAAAATGTTTGATATTAACCTGGGGGATCCCTGATCCCAGTGCCTGTAACTTTCCCTTCCTCTGATCTTTTGTTCGGTTTTAACGGAGTTTAAACTTTCCATGGCGAGCCCACATTCACAAGTTGGAGATGGGCAGAGCCGAGAATCGATGGCAGATTTTTGTTCATTTTTAGCACGGTTGCAGAAGATAAACTCAAACAGACAGTGCTGAACGCAGTGCTGGCTGAACACCCCATTTTCCTGCGGTGCAGCATCCCCGGGCCGGGTTTTKGGGCTTTT